TACCCAGGCTGGAGTGCAATGGCGCGATCTCGGCTCACCACAACCTCTGTCTCCTGGGTTCAAGTAATTCTCCTGCCTCAGCCTCCCGAGTAGCTGGGACTACAGGCGTGCGCCACCATGCCCAGCTAATTTTTGTATTTTTAGTAGAGACGGGGTTTCACCATGTTGACCAGGATGGTCTCGATCTCTTGACCTCGTGATCCACCCGCCTCGGACTCCCAAAGTGCTGGGATTACAGGCTTGATCCACCGCGCCTGGCATCCTGCTCTGTTTTAATGCCCTCTTTTCTTTGAAGTAACAATAGTTAAAAGGGATGAGCTTGCATACTGTCACACTTTGGTATGCAGCAGAAGTGCCTTCTTCATACTTCCCATTTTGTCACACAGAATATCAAAAAGACTTAAGAGTTGTGATTTAACAAAGTTAATAATTTTTATTGCTTCATCAGTCAAGTGAAACTGACATTTTAGAATAACTGAAAGTGTGTGTCACTGAAGAGTAAGACTCCTAGTATAGTTTGGTACTGCTGCCTCGATTGGTGCTAAGATGCAAGCAGTTCTACCCATCATTGCTATTGCACTTTCTTTTATTTATTTATTTATTTGTTGTTTGTTTGTTTATTTAAAGAGACCAGGTCTCCTTATGTTACCCAGGCTGGTGCAGTGGCTATTCAAAGGCACGATCCCACTCTGGATCAGCAGGGGAGTTTTGACCTGCTCCATTTCTGACCTGGACCGGTTCACCCCTCCTTAGGCAACCTGGTGGTCCCCCACTCCCAGGAGGTCACCATATCGATGCCGAATTTAGTGCGGACACCCGAACGACATAGCGCCCTACAGCCCAGAACTCCTGTGCTCAAGCGGTCCTCCCACCTCAGCCTCCTGAGTAGCTGGGACTACAGGCATGTGCCACCGCGCCCGGCGCTATTACTTTCATTGCAGTTGTCAACATGCTGAAAAGGGCATACATACTAAGATGTGGATTCCCACGAGTCTGTGGACTACACTTTGAGAACCACTGGAGTGATCTGAACTCATCCCATTTTTTGTTTGAATGTTCTAACCTGAACTTTACCTCGTAAGATTACTTAGCCTGTTTAAAAGTTTTTGGCCGGCTGCGGTGGCTCACTCCTGTAATCACAGCACTTTGGGGAGCCGAGGCGGGCGATCACCTGAGGTCAGGAGTTCGAGACCAGCTTGGCCAACATGGTGAAACCCCGTCTCTACTAAAAATGCAAAAATGGGCCGGGTGTGGTGGCAGACGCCTGTAATCCCAGATACTCCAGAGGCTGACAGGAGAATTGCTTGAACCTGGGAGGTGGAGGTTGCAGTGAGCTGAGATTGTGCCATTGCACTCCAGTCTGGGGAACAAGAGTGAGATTTCATCTCAAAAAAAAAAAAAAAGGTTTTTATAAATTCAGCAACCTGGTTAGATAAACTCTATCGAGTGTTTAACTGACAATCTTATTTTAAAATGGTTCACTAGTACAGTGCTTAATCTGTACCCTTCATGATTTTTCATCTGAACA